CACACACACACGGAGCCAATGCAAAAGGAAGCTGCCTTCTCAGCTACTGCCACACACACACTCACTCACACACACACGCACACACACACACACACACACACACACACACGGAGCCAATGCAAAAGGAAGCTGCCTTCTCAGCTACTGCCCCGCGGGGTGGTGGGGATCCGCGCAGGTGGCTGCTGCTCCCTGGGAGTAGCTGTGAAGTGCACTTAGCCCGACCCCTCCAACTGGGGACTCAGCTCTGCCCATTTTTGCAATGTGTTCTCCAGAACAGCAAGAAAAAGTAGCCCAGACTTGTGGGCGTTTGCAAGGACACTAAGAGCAACTGTGGCTTTGGGTCCCATCTGCTCATCAGTTATGGAGATATGAGGGACCCCCTGGTGTGAGCCCCTCCTTCCCCATCCTGTCGCAAGTCCAAGGGAGCAGGCTGGACAGCCCTGCCACGAGGGAGAACACTTCCAAGGCACGGCAAACACGGGCACCTCCTCCTGGCTCTCCTTCATGCTAGAGACGAGGGAGGTTGTGTGCAGAACTTCCCAGTGCTACAACACACCCCTCTGTGATCCCAGGCAGGTCACTTTCCCATGGCAATCAGAAGCAAGAAGGGAATTGGGGACAGAAATTGGTCAAATTCAAACCCCAGTACTGAAAAAGGCCCATGGTAATTCTAGCTGAACTTTGCCATTCTGGAAAAGTGATTACTTCCAGGTGCTGTGGCTCATGCCTATAATCCTAGCTACTTAGGAGGCTGAGATCTGAAGATCACACTGGACAGGAAAGTCCCTGAGATCTTAATTCCAATTAACCTCCAAAAAGCTGGACATGGAGCTGTGGCTCACATAATAAAGCAGAGCACCAGCCTTGGGGAAAAACCTGAGACAGCACCTAGACCTGAGTTCAAGCTCACTACAAGCGCGCGTGCGTGCGCGTGCGCGCACACACATATACACATACACACACACACACACACACACACAAAATTAGGAAAGAAAAGCAGCTCCCTTTCCCTGGGGCCCTGCCCTCGGTGAACTTACGGGCACCTGGAGTCCAAGTCTGAGCTGAATCTGGCAGCAGAGACAATGCCAGGGCCCACCGCCATCTCCACTGGGGTTCCGGAGTGTGCGTGGTCTCTGATCCCACTCCTCCTCGTTCAAGCACTGCCATCAGGTCACACAGATGGCGGTTGTTCTACTGGGTAGCTTTACAAGTGCTGGCCCTCATCCCCACAGTCCAGTGGCTCAGGGAGAGCCTTTCTTTCCAGCCTCTGATGAGCTCTGTGCATCTCCCCAGCCACAGCCCCCATGATGAGCCAAGGCACCAAGGCCTTGCCCCTGCATGAGACAAGAAAGGACCCAGAGGGTTTGATCCACCAGCTCTATTGAGTTCTGGGCCTCAGCTTCAGGCCAGCCTGCCTTTCAACCCAGCGCAGGAGCCCTCCTCTTTCCCGCTGTGACCCCAGGCCCAGGGCCCTTTCCTCTCAGCAAGACCCACCGTCTCCCCACTTTTGAGAGGAGACCAGGCAGCCTCTGGTAGAGAGTGCCGCTGCGCCTCATGGCTCACATTGAGGATTTCACTTCAGAGAAGCCTAGGTGGGGCGAAGCTCAGCTCAACTCAGCTCACCTGGTGGTTTTTTTTGAAGCGCAGCAGCAGCCTGTCATATGTATGGAACTGGAAAGCCAGCCCTGCACTGCAGAGCCGGTGCTGGCCCCGGTGCTCAGGGATGGGGCAGTGCCACAGGCCCTGGGGTCTAGCCCTGCCCAGCACCACAAAAAAAAAAGAAAACATTGATAGCTCATAGCTGTCACCCTCCTCGCCACTCAGGAGGCTGACAGCTGAAGATCGAGATTCAAAGCTAATCCAGGCAGAAAGGTCTATGAGACTCTTACCACCAATTAACAAGCCAAGAACTGAAGCTGTGGCTCCAGTGGTAGAGCCCTTATCCTGAGCAGAAAAACCTCAAGGACAGGGCCCTGGGTTCAAACCCCAATATCCATACAAAACAAAATGAAAGAAAACATGTTTGTTCAATAGGCTGCTCTGACCATGAAGGTTAGAATGTGTTTGTGGCTTTAACGAAATCTCACTATCCCACAATACTGTGAAATTTGTGTAATCACTTAATCACAATAAAAAAAATTGCAAAAAAAGCAACAACAACAAAAAGGCTGCTCTGAGTCAGGCTCCCATTAGCCAGATTCAGGGCTGACCCCTGCTCGTCCTCTTGGGCACCCAGCTGTCACGACCATCTCTCTGCTTTCCCTCCAGGTCAGCGCCTATTTGGGGAGACCATCCTGGGGCTCACACAAGGCTCTGTGTCCGACCTGCTTGCCCGGCCGAAGCCCTGGCACAAGCTGAGCCTGAAGGGCCGGGAGCCATTCGTCCGCATGCAGCTGTGGCTCAATGACCCCAACAATGTGGAAAAGCTGATGGACATGAAGCGGATGGAGAAGAAAGGTAGTGCCCTGCCCACAGTGCCCTCCATGGCACACTGGCCCTTCCCAATGTGAGGAATAAGTGTTGACAGAGGCCTCTGACACATGAGTTGCTAGATTTTAAAGATGTAGGAAACATTTCAAGGGAGAAGGCTGTTAACCCAATATGAGCAGATACTCATGGCTCAGATCTGTAATCATAGCTACTCAAGAGGCTGAGATCTGACGATCACGGTTCAAAACTAGCCAGGGCAGAAAAATCTGTGAGACCAGAAAACCGGAAGTGGTGCTGTGGCTGTAAGTGGTAGAGCACTAGCCTTGAGCAAAAGAGGGACAGCACCCAGCCTTGAGTTCAAGCCCCAGGATCAATAACAACAAAAAAGCACCTGAGTTTCAACACTCATCCAGACAATAACATTAAAGTGTCCCACCCTGTCAGGAAACATGCTGCTGCTATGTGCAGGCCTCCCTCAGCCACGAAGTGCCCCTGAGCAGCCCTGTCCCGTCATTCTTCAGGACAGAGGACACCATTTCCTGCTGGGCCACCCAGCCGCTCTGCAGGGTTCCCCAGGCTCCTGCTTCCTTCCACACAGGCTCTGGGCGCCATCTTGTGTTTCAAAGAGTTATTGTCTCAGTGGGCCCTGGCCCTCTGCCATCCCAGCTCCCCAAAGTGGCTGTGAGGCCATCTAGCTAGGTGTTCTTCACTAGGCTGTTCCTTCCCTGGCAGGCGACTGCGCAGGCTCTGAGCCAGTCTTCCCCCTCGGTGCCCACTCCCAGCCTTTGACCAGGCCATGTGCATTAAATCTCTCAGGTTTTCCTTCTCGATTGTTCCCTAGTCACAGCATGCAATGGCAAGGGAGCACAGTAATCCCCCAGCAAGTGACCCTCACTTCCTCCAGCGCTAAGGATTAGACAAACAGCTGGCCATTAAGTGTGCAGTGAGCACTTTGTTCTCTGGCATGAGTTGTGCCCATGGCCTGGCCTGGCCTAAAAGTCCTGCACCAGGTCCCAGACAAACGGTTCATTCCTACACTGTGTGCATCCTCTCCTTCCTGAAGCTTCAGCTTCTCCCTAAGCTCTGGTGTTCCATTCCTCCCTATCCTGTCTTCTGCCTTTGTTTCTTCTGTGACCCAACCTGCCCACATTATCTGAAGCTCACATACAGACCCAGCACGACGTGCATGTATGCACACACACACATACACACACACACCAACGTGCACTCACACTCACTTCCTGTATCTCAGCTGGACACATGGCACCAGCCACACATGGCACTGACTATGGTTTCCATTCTCCCCTGCATTTGCCTGAGTGGCAGCACGGCTCCGGTGCAGCTCTCTGGCCTGCTGTGGCAGGAGGGCCTTAGCATTGTCACTTACAGCCTGAGGTTTCCTCATGGGTAAACTGGGTAACAACCAGGGGTGAACCAGCGCTGCTAACGCAGCTGCACTTGCCAGAATTGGTTCAGAAGGGCCAGGCGTGCTCTTTGGTCCCCAGCATAGCAGGAAAAGAAAATAAAGAACTGGAAAGAGGAGCAAGGAACGTGGCTTAGTGGCAGAGTGCTTGCCTAGCATGCATGAGGTCCTGGGTTTGATTCCTTGGTACAACATAAACAGAAAAAAGTAATTAAGAATAAAGAAAATAAAGAACTGAAAAAAAGTTCACTCCATAGTCCAAATCGGTCCCCTGGGGAGATGAGTGTGAACAATTCCACTAGAGTGGAGGGGGAATTTTGTGTGTGTGTGTGTGTGTGTGTGGTTTTTTTTTTGTCAGTAATGGGGCTTGAAACTCTGGGCTTGGGAGCTGTCCCTCAGCTCTTCAGCTCAAAGTGAGCACTCTACTGCTTGAGCCACAGCGCCACTTCCAGTTTTCGAGTGGTTTATTGGAGATAAGAGTCTCACGGACTTTCATGTCTGGGCTGGCTTTGAACAGCAATCCTCAGATCTCAGCCTCCTGAGTAGCTAGGATTACAGGTGTGAGCCACAGCGCCCGGCGGGAGAGTTTTTTAAGATTTTGGTTTTGTGTCACAATGCAGCCCAGGCTGGCCTTGAACTCAGGATCCTCCATCCTCAATATGCCACATGCTGTGTTTCCACATTCTAAACATTGTCCTGTCCTCTTTCACCTCCTGGCCTATGTTTTTCTGGTCAATCCCTGTCCTCCTCAGCAGTCTGTCCTAGGAAGCCTCCTCGGTGCCCACCCCATGCCCTGCACAGGGACAGGGACAGAGCCAGGGCAGGGGTGTAAGGTACCCACTTGGGGAGCAAGGGCATTGGGCTTCTCACACAGCCAGCCCTGACCTCGATGTCTCTTCTCCCTGCAGCCTACATGAAACGGCGGCACAGCTCTGTCAGCGACAGCCAGGCCTGTGAGCCCCCTGCCGTGGGCATCGACTACAGCCAGGGTGCCAGCCCCCAGCCGCAGCACCAGCTCAAGAAACCCCGTGTGGTGCTGGCCCCTGAAGAGAAGGAAGCTCTAAAGAGAGCCTATCAGCAGAAGCCATACCCGTCACCAAAAACCATCGAGGAGCTAGCCACCCAGCTCAACTTGAAGACCAGCACCGTCATCAACTGGTTCCACAACTACAGGTAGGCCCTCCCCACCCCTGCCTAGTCCCGCCACATAGCGGCCACCCCACCGCACATGGGCTTGGCCCCTCACAAGTGTTTGTGTGTGTGTATGTGTGTTTGTGTGTCAGTCATGGGACCTAAACTCTGGGCCTAGGCTCTGTCCCTGAGCTCTTCAGCTCAAGGCTAGCTCTCTACCACTTGAGCCACGGCGCCACTACCTGCTTTTTCTGCTTATGTGGTACTGAGGAGTTGAATCCAGGGCCTCATGCATGCAAGGCAAAGACTCTACCACTGAGCCACCTTCCCAGCCCCAAGTGTTTGTTTTTTGTTTGTCGGTCCTGGGGCTTGAACTCACACACACTGTCCCTGAGCTTTTTGTGCTCAATACTAGAACTCTTAACACTTGAGCCGCAGCTCTACTACCAGCTTTTTGCTGGTTAATTGGCAAGAAACTGGCTTCAACCCATGATCTCAGATCTGAGATTCCAGAGTAGCTAGGATTGCAGGTGTGAGCCACCAGCTGTGCCCTGGTATTAGGCTTCGATCTGGAGGGATTGTGCTTGCACTTCCTTTGTGTTTTCAGTTTTTAGATGAGAGGGTCTCAAGTTTGCCCCAGACAAACTTGGACCAAGATTCACCTATTTTCACACTCACATGGCATTTATAGGCATGTGCCACCAATCTGGCTTGCTTTTTTGTTGTTCTTTTTGTGACAGTCCTGGGGCTTGAACTCAGAGCCTCGGCACTGTCCCTGAGCTTTTTTGCTCAAGGTTAGTACTCTACCACTTCAGCCAAAGCTCCACTTCTGGCTTTTCGGTGATTAACCTGTGATAAGAACCTTGCGGCAGGACTTTCCTGCCCCTGCTGGCTTCAAACAGATCCTCAGATCTCGGAGTAGCTCGGATAACAGGTGTGAGCCACCAGCACCTGGCAACTGAATTTGTACCACATCTCCCCACTCTTATCAGCCCAGGCTGCTCCCTGTCCACAGAAAGAGTAGGGAAAAAATGAAGGGAAGGAAGAGAAGATAAATGTGACCACTCTGGCCAGGTCTCAGGCTCACCCACTGTCACCTCCTACCTAGTCAGTGTCTTTACCCGGGTGTCCAGTGAAGTCCTGCGAGGACACTGCACATCCTCAGCCCAGGGGCTGCTGACCTCCTGGGCGTCTCCTGTATCTGCACAGGGCGCCCCAGGCCTGGCCTGCTCATGCTCCCTCCCCTTCCCAGTACCGTCTTGTCTTGCTGGCCCCTGGCAGCCACAGTCCTCTCTGTGGAGCTGTCTCTGGTGCATTTAGCACAAATTCAACTGTCCACCCTTGGCAGACAGCAAGGGAGGAGGAGGCGCAGCACAGGACCTGCACTCAGGCATTAAATGAGTTAAACTCCTAAAGGAGAAAGCAACTTTTTTCTCTTATTTTCACAGGGATTAAGCCAGGACAGTTGATGTTATTTTTTTTTTCTGTGCCTGTAGAGCCCTCAGAGAGTAGAACCTGAGGTCAATTTTTTTTGGGGGGGTGTCAGGTCGTGGGGCCTGAACTCTGGGCCTGGGCGCTGTCCCTCAACTCTTCAGCTCAAGGCTAGCACTCTACCACTTGAGCCACAGCGCCACTTCCGGCTTTTTTCTTTTTGCTTATGTGGCGCTGAGGAATCGAACCCAGGGCCTCATGCATGCAAGGCAAGCGCTCTACCACTGAGCCACCTTCCCAGCCCTGAGGTCAATTTTTGCACCCATTTAAAAAAAAAAAAATAGAGCCAGGCACTAGAAGCTCACACCTGTAATCCTACTCAGGAAGTTGAGATCTGAGGATAGAGGTTCAAAGCCAGCCCAGACAGAAAAGTTCATGAGGGGCTGGGAATGTGAATATGGCTTAGTGCTAGAGTGCTTGCCTACCATGCACGAAGCCCTGGGTTCGATTCCTCAGGACCACATACACAGAAAAAGCCGGAAGTGGTGCTGGGGCTCAAGTGGTAGAGTGTTAGCCTTGAGCACAGAGAGGCTCAGAGACAGAGCTCAGGCCCTGAGTTCAAGACCCCCACCCCAAAACAAAAAAGAAAAAAAAGAAAAGTCCATGAGACTCTTTATCTCCAGTTAACAACAAAATACTAGAAGTAGGGGTAGCTCAAGTGGCAGAGTACTAGTCTAGTGAAAATGTCAAGCAAGGGGAAAAGGCCCTAAGTTCAAACCCCATTACCAGCACAAAAATAGGTAAATAAAAAGTCAAAGCACAGTGTAATCTGGTATGGTGGGTACATGTAATCCCAGTTGTAATCTCAGGAGGTGGAGTGTGGAAGATCTTGGTTTCAGACAGTGAGACTGTGTCAGAAAACAAGGTGGGCATGGTAGTGGGCCCCACTGCTCAGAGAGCAGAAGTAGGAGGCTCCAGGCCTGAGTCAGCTGCAGCAAGTTAGCCTAAGACCCTATTTGAAAGACAAACTAAACACAAAAGACTGTGTGTGGTTCAACTAGTAGAGGGCTTGAGGCTCTGAGTTCAGCCCTAGTACCAGCCCTACAAAAAGGTCATGAAAGAACCAGGACTGAGCCTTTGTTTACTTTGTGTCCAGTATTACAGTCAATATGCCACTTCATCTTCCTCTCTCTGCAAGGAAGACACTTTTTTCAGATAAAAGAACTAAGGTTCAAAAGGCCACAATGATCTGTCCTAGTTGGACAGCTATAGAGTAGCAAAGCCAGACTTCCAACCTAGGTTTGGGGGGCGGAGGATGGAGGTAGGGGGGAGTGTAGTTGAGGAGGTGGGAGAGAAGGGATGGTAGGGGAAAAACAAAGGAGGAGGCAAAATGCTTGGTAAGAAATGTACTCATGCCAGGCTCCGGTGGCTCACGCCTGTAATCCTAGCTACTCAGGAGGCTGAGATCTGAGGATCATGGTTCAAAGCCAGCCCAGGCAGGAAAGTCTGTGAGACTCTT